TAAGCCACGTTTTCTTTTTTTGTTAAACGATCACCACTGATTCGAATCATTGTGATCGACCAAACACGATCGGTACAATTGCTACACATTTGGTTCTGCGATGTATTCAGTATTCTCACCACCACGCTTCAAGCGGATTCGCTCCATCATGTCGAATCGGTAGAGTTTGTTGCAGAACACGCATTTGCACTGCGTAATCGAGGTCAGTCTAAATTGTTGTGCTACTTGATCAACGAAACCAGATTCGTGGGAAGCAATCTCAACCCGATCCTTTCACTGGGCTGTTGAACCCCCAAAAAGCAGTGAAAGCTCTCTTGAGTTCCTGATACATTAGTGACCGGTCTCCCGTCAGCTTATCATTACGTTATTACAGCCGGACTCCAAGGGCTCCGGTAACCCAATACAACATCGTTGTGTCCTTTGAGCAATTATTACACCTCACCTGAACTTGGAAATCGAAGTTTTCCAACGGTCACTAGCCACTAGCTGCACATCAAGTCACTCATAATCCCGATGATTGGTTTTTCATCTTCTCATTTCATTGAAGAAAACCGCCGCAACGAGACTAAGTAAATGCTGTGAATCCCGAAGGTGATAGAGTCGTTCAACTGCTACCTCCACTGGCCATTATGCTGAGACGTTTGCTGGCATATGTGCATCTATGCGTACACCTCAGACTACCGTTGTTCCAGTTCATTTTTTCTTTCCGCCTACAGTGAAAACATCAACACGAAAGATTCTTTCGCTGTTCGTCGCTTTCATAACACCTGATCTGCTCAGCGCTGTCGTGCACAAAATGACACTAGCCCTGTCCGTGTCACTTTGCATTGATGAATGCATTTTGCTTTCTTTGTTCTTCTTTCAGAAATTCTTCGCTCCGTTTACCTCTGCCATTGCACAGAACGTGAACCCTAGAACGATGTTTGATTGGTAAGTGTTTATCAGTTTACCTTTCTCCATTGGAGTTTTGTGTTTTGAATGTTATTTTAATAACTGTCAACTAGCAGCCGTTTTGCCACATGCTTAAAATTGGTTACCCATCGCAACTTCTGCTAAACCGTTCAACCAGGGCCGAATGTGAATCTCGGACAAAGTGCATTGATAACAGCTCGAAATTGATCACGCCTTACCACAACTACTGGTGGGATCAAAAAAACTATCCGTCAAGCGGTCTGTAAATTAAACGATCCATCTATGTGCCTCATGGGTGACCAATACTAGGCTGAACGCTTTTAGTCGGCCCACTACTGTCCAATAACTTGACCACATACTTAACACATTCTTGGCAGTCTACTCTTCAAGACACTCCGGGAGCCGGAATCGGTAATCACTCTCTAGTTTCTTATTTGCTAATGCAATTTTAAACGCTGTTCTTTGAAATTCATAATACGGAAACTATTTTTCTGGTCTAGTCGCGAAGCCATCCCTCCAACCACCTAATATTTAGTGAGTGTGTAATTGCTTATCACTATAGTCAATCGACGGCTACCAGCTTGAATGAGAAGTGGCACAAATAGGGCAATGTTGACAAACTTCCAACGCACAATCTAGAGACCGAAAAGCCAGGTTATCTTTACCCGTCGCCCAACGTTTATAGCTAATTAACTTGGAAAACGCGTCGCATCGATGATCATCTACATCGTACAAAGCAGGATCCTACAATCAAAAGCGGATCAGAACAGAATTTTCATTGTAAGGCGCTTCACTGCACTTCGACTTTGACTTCACTTGTTCGCGCTATTCCCACGAAGATCGGAAGGGGAGTCTATTTAATTTTGCAGTACGGATCAATGCGACACCACTCATGCCGCTTTGGCTGATGAGCGAACATTCACAAGGATAGTTTGATTTGCATCCGAAAATGACAGTGGTCACATTGGCTCTTCATTACGTCGAGAGTTAGCGTCGGTGGAACGACGGAGACACACGTCCCTTTGAGCCCACCTGATTAGCTGACTCGGTCAAATGGTCAATAGTAAGACAGTCTTTTTTGCTCGAAAGTTTCGATTTCAGTAGCGTTTCTCCCATCGCTTCTTGCGTGATAATGCTCCTGTTCGAAAGATAACAGTTTCCGCTTCACACTATATAATTGAAGCTGCTGACCTAGTCGATTTTGTTTCGTTTTCGTAAAAATAAAAACCAATGGATTATTCCGTTTGAATGTGGTTTAAAACTAACCAAATATATAAAATCAAAGAAACTACTGTGCACCGATGGTGTCAGAACCCGCTTCGTTTCTGTTTGTGTAACTTCACAATATTCTCTCTGTTTCTTTTCAGCTATCCTAGTTATTTGAGCTGTGCTAAAACGTGTCTGACAATGATGTTTCGTTCTTGGGCAGGTATGTTCTATTTCTTGCGCCACCCCACTCTATCATCCATCATTTACTTGCCGTTGTTGTTCGCTTAAAATCGAATCGCATGTACCTCACTCGCCTTTTACGTGAACAGAGGGATGCGGTTTGTCGTGAGTTATAGACGCTGAAGTTCGGTGCTCTCTTTAGTGGGATCGGCAGAAACACGCTGCTGACAGTCTGTAATCGTGCTGTTTGACAGCTTTTCAATTCAGATTCCTATGCAGACCAAATTCTCCGCTGCCGTCACTTCCACATATATGTATACTCGTATGCTTCTAACTGATTATATATGTATATTCACTCTTTCGTTCCTTTTGCTAGGTCTTTTCTACTTTCTCCACAACGGGCTTCCGTGTCTTCGAACATTGATGTATAGCTTAGCTGTGGGGAGCAGTGAAATGAGAGTAAGTGATTGCGTCTATACGGTCAGAGTTCATCTGTGTACTACATTTTACTCATTGCTATGCCTGCTCTCACTAAGTTACTACATCATTCTTACATGCGAGTTGTGACTAACGATTTCTCTTATCCAGGAGGATCTCTGAATTTGACGACGAGAAGTATATCTCGTGATCCACGGGTGTACTGTAAAAATAAGAGGCATATGTGGTAAAACAGAGATAGTCCGAGTGCGATCAACAGCCTCAGGGTTTGTAACACCTTGAACTCTCTTCCACCTCAAGTTGTTGGTGCACCAACCGTCGATTCATTCAAGTTACGTCTAGATGAAGCATAGAACCACATAACTTTTCAGTACCCCTGAGTGAATATCAGAATTTGCTATTGATTTGTGCTATCAACCGAACCCAGTGTGCACAAACCCTATGGGATTAAATAAGCATCAGCTTTGTACTTTACCCATATTAAAAATTTGAATTTGAACAAAATTGATATACCCGCCTTCTTCCACTATCCTGTGTACGCGTTCGTGGTCAAACTTAGGTCCGGTTTTTGGATGCTGGAAATCTACTACTAAATCACTTGGAGTTCGACTAGGCTTGGCCCCTCAGTATGTGTCCCTGTTACGCCCTAATTGATTCTTTGTGGTTAAAATCTTGTAGGATTTGAAGGGTTGGATTGACCACCTAATTAATTCGAGCTTCGAGCAGATCAGTTCATATGCCTTTCGAATGTGGCCTATTATCCAGGCTACTCAGATTGCTCTTCAGCTGCGCACTTGCCGGTGCACGTCATGGTGGTCGACTTCAAAGGTGAACTTTGGAGACCGGTTCGGGTTGCGCCGAGGTTAGCGCCATCTTGAGCTTCTTACACCAAGCGTGGATGGTTTGGAATCACGGCTTTAGTCAACTCCTCTAGACCGACTGCCAGTGGTCGGTTAACCCGTTGAAGAGCGCCGGGCATGCTCGTTGCGATTAGACTTCTACTGCAGAACGTGAAGTGCAGTGCTAACCTAACTTGGACGAACCCCTCCCCCAAGTTGGAACAGATTTTTTCATGACTTTCTTGATTTCGAATGGAATATTTCCAGTTTATCTCCTATTTTACTATCTAGTCGCTAATTGAATATGATTCTAGTACATCGGTGTTCTAACTTATTTCCCGACGAATTGTCAATGTATCCGTTAGATAGAAGTGTGTAGAATAAGAGTTGTGCTCGACTCCCACTCATGAATTGCTGAATAAGGTCCCTGCGAAGTACCAAATATGTTTTGAAGTCAGATAAGAATTAGTTTCATCTGATTCATTTATACCTGAAATATTTCTACTTCCTCTTATAACGTGCATAAAGTGCAACATCAGGCGTAAAACGTGTTCGAAATTAGTGTTTGCCTTTCTGTTTTGCTTTCATAAGCCCATTTTATCCGCTGCTGTTTCCCACGGTCTTTAGCCCTTGACTCCCTTTTTATTGTATACATACTTGTACAATCAATTTTCAGAGCAGAAATGTGACCAATCAACGCGTTATACTTCGGCAAGCTTATCTGTCGGTTTCTGTTTACATTGCATTCCATCTAGGATCAGATTCTAGATTTGCTGTTCGGCCTGTTTCCTGCTTTGCCCAAACCACATCCAGCTACACGAGATATTGATCCGGCCATTCTCGGTCTGTTAGAAGCGCTGGCCAGCTGTGCTCCGACAGCCTTGCCTGTCGTGCAGGTAAACGCGCCACACTCCACTAATGGTTGTCCGACTCAGAGCGCGTCACGTTCGGGTAGCGGTTCGAAATCAAGCCCCGGACCATCCATATTGCCACGGCGTCGATCACCACCCAGTGCATGGGATATTCAAGGCGGTTTTGTGGCGGCTGAAGGTTTGCGCGTGTTTCCAAGACCGGTTGGAGGCAGTAACCCTAGACTCGACTTAATGGACAGCTATTCCGCTTTGCTCCTGGCCACTCTTATCCAGGCTGGCTTGTATGAGGTGCGATTGTTTATTTCCACCCTTATCCCGAATTCATTCTTGTCCTATCGACTCGCGCTCTAGCTTCAACTTTCGCTATATTCGTTGTTCGCTATAGGAACAATAAATTCAACATGAGAACAGCTTATTTCTGGTCAACTATTATGCAGTGTATTTCCGGTTGAGCTTTTCGTGCTGGAGAAGATTATCTATAAGATTGATCATTTCTCTCTATGCACAGCACTCTCTGTCCGATTTCAATCCCATTTCATACCAGAGAATACCATTTGTTCTCACGAAGTGCACTTTCACTGCCTGCGCCTTGAGCACGTACACAAGCCATTACCACAGTTCTGAAAAAAAACCTGTTTAGTGTTCTTTATCTTAACGCTACGGTCACCTTTGCTCGAAGAGTTCGCTTTATGCAACCTCATCATAGGAACCTGACTTGCTCTGCTCCAACATCTAGTTTGAAGTAGCCATAATCGAAACCGATGAAGATTTAAATAACTCATTATGGTATACGTTAACCTCATACATGTTAAGATTTTCATTTAGTTGCGCGGTGTTTGTGCGGTTACCCAATGGGTAATCACAGTAAAATCTTGTCATGATGATGTCTTGGCAGTTGTTACTCCTACCATTTCAGTGGAGTGAGAGGACGAAAAGCCACTGTCCAGAGCCGTAATTGGATTGATGGGCAGGAGGGCGGTGGTAAACCTTGATTCTAGGCCTCTCAGGAAGAAGTGTACCAACTGGACTTCCTGGCTACTATGCTCACCGGCTTGTTTAAGCGGCAATACGTACTGAGCACCTGGGATTTGTAAACCACTCCTGAAGGGCTTTTGATGTGACTAATTAGACACAGACCCTCAATTGAAACATTCTCTACATACTTGATCAATATCACTCTTTGCTACCACACTCCCTCTCGCTCTCCTTACCTGATGCACACAACAAATTTTCGAATCTCATCCTATGAATAAGATTCCTTTGTACATGCACGTTTCTGAATGTAATAGAGTCAAATCCTTCATTTTGCACTCAGCGGCTAAACACATCAACTAAAGATGTGACGATTCGTGAAAAGTTCTCATGTGGGCATAGCCCATGCCTGTGTTTGCCACAGAACAATACCGCGCATCATGCTTGCTTTTCGTTGTATTTCGATTCCGCTCAACATCTTCGACAAACAGTTTTACATATCTGATTGTTCTTCCATTTTTCCAGGCGCTGATTCGTGCCGTTTCTGACGCACAACAGACGATTTCTGTACGTGCTGGCCTCCTTTTGGGTTTGTTAGCCTATCGTGTAAGTTGTTCTCCTTAAACCTAATCGTTGCTCAAAAAATCACCATCCCTGTACTGTAATCACACTTCATCCGATTCAACAGCGTGATTGTCTCGGGTATTTTTGGCAGTCAGTCGTATTTTCAATTATAGGGTTGTTAGAAATAGGTAAAAGGTTCTC